AATGGACCAGCTGAGCGAAACATCCAAACCGCTGAAGCTGATATGAGAGCAATGCTGAAAGACGCTGGTTTACCAATTGAGTTTTGGGATGAAGCTGTCGAAGCAGACGCATACCTGCGAAACCGCACAAACACAGGACCCACGATCAATGGAAAGCAAGTCAGTCCTGAAGAGGCATTCACAGGAACGAAACCATCCATTGACCACATCCGTGTATGGGGGAGCAAATGCTATTCTTACATCAACCCCAAAACGATTCCAGCAGACCAACGACATGACAAGCTCGTGGACCGTGGCAGAGTTGGAGTATTCATGGGATATTCTGAGACAACAAACAAGCAGTTCAAGTTCTATTCGCCAGAGCTTGGATACACCTCAAGGACAAGCCGATTATCAGTGGACGAATACACCCCTGGAGGAAAAGTTGAACTACGACTGCGAAACATACCAGCTGGACCACAAGGGACGCAGAATACGATGCCAGACCGAAAACCAAGAGGAAGACCTAGGAAGGATCTGGAATCATCTCCTGCAGAACCAATGGAACCACCTCCTGCCAAATCAATGGAACTATCTCCTGCAGAACCAATAGAACCATCTCCTGTCGAACTAATGGAACCATCTCCTGTCGAACTAATGGAACCATCTCCTGTCGAACCAATGGAACCATCTCCTGCAGAAATAGTGGAGCCAGTTCCCGAGAACCCAATAGAACTGTCGTCGGCAGAGCTAACTCCCGAACCAGTTAAGCGTCACAGAGGAAGACCAGGGAAGCTAACGACTATTCCCCCTACTGCACCATCTGATGAGCGGGTTCCTAATCTTGTGGACGAAGAGGGACCCGAAGAACCGTATACCCAGTCTGTACGAGAAGAGGAGGCTCCACGATACTTCACCAGACAAGCCAAACGAAAGAGGTCTAACGAAGAGGTTGTTGAGGACGAGAGATTTAGCAAGATCGTTAAAGCTATGCTAGCCCAAGCTGGCCTTATAGAAGAGCAAACACGACTATCTGAGAAGGCTTTTGCAGCAACCGAGATCGCAGGAATCCAGATCCCCCAGACACACGAGCAAGCTATCAACGACCCAAAGTATGGAAAGCAATGGAAAGCAGCAATACTTGAAGAGATAATCGCGTTAATGGAGAATCGAACCTGGGAGGAAGTTCCAAAGCCAAAAGACGCGAACATGGTTGATTCAAAGTGGGTTTTTACAGTCAAAACAAATCTCGACGGGACTGTTGAGAGGTTTAAGGCACGCCTTGTGGCAAGAGGTTTTACGCAAGTACACGGAACAGACTACAACGAGACTTTCGCCCCGACAGTTCGCATGGACACCTTACGTCTGTTTATGGCCACTGTCGCAGCGGAAAACCTAGAATGTTTTCACTTTGACATCAAGAATGCTTTCACAGAGTCGCATTTGAAGGAAGAGATCTTTCTTAAGCAACCCCAGGGAGTAGAAGTTAAGAAAGGATACGTCCTTAAAGTTCTCCGCAGCCTATATGGACTCAAACAAGCTGCTCGTGACTGGAACTTGTTAATAAAGAAAGAACTTCTGGCATGGGGATTCGTGCAAAGCCTTGCCGACCCGTGCATGTTTATCCACGAAGAAAAACAACTCCGTATCCTCGTCTACGTTGACGACATTGCTGTTGCCGCAAAAGATCGAGCTCAAATTGATTGGTTCTACAAGAAGCTTTCTGGAAGATTCAACACCAAGAACCTAGGGGAGATTCATAAGATCCTTGGAGTACGAGTTACGCGAGACAGAAAGCGCCGCACAATCTACCTCGATCAAGAACAGTACATACACGCAGTACTTGACAAGTTTGGAATGTCTAGCAAACAACACAGAGACAAGAAGATTCCATCCGCAGATTACACGTCATTTAGGCCAGCCACTAACAACGACACCCGAATCGACATCACTGAATACCAGCAAGTGATAGGGAGCCTTATGTTTGCTATGGTTCTTACACGCCCAGACATTGCATTCACCCTCGGAAAGCTAAGCCAATACATGAGCGATCCAGCAGAACATCATGGCCATGCGTTGAAGAACCTGCTACGATATCTAAGGTCGACAGTAACAATGAAGCTACGCTACGGACCAGGGGGAGTACACTCGCAATTTGTCATCTACTCTGATGCTGACTGGGCAAGCGACATGGTAGACCGAAAGAGCGTTTCAGGGAGCACTGCAATGTTCTACGGAGGTCCAATATCATGGTCTAGCAAGAAGCAACGGTCTGTTGCAACGTCAAGCTGCGAATCTGAATACATCGCACTATCAACATGCTGTAAGCAAGGCCAGTGGATTGCTCAAATGTTCAGAGATCTTGGGTTCCCAAAGTACATTGGAAAAGACACCAACAAGGTCCAGATGCTAGGAGATAACCAGGGTGCCATTGCACTTACAAAGAACCCTCACCTTCACGAAAGATCAAAGCACATCGACGTCTGTTATCATTTTATCAGAGACCTAGCAGAACAAGGTAAACTCGACGTGGCCTACGTGCCAACTGTAGATATGGTGGCTGATGGAATGACAAAGCCGTTGCAGCGAGTCGCATTCGAGAAATTCAAGAACCAATTAGGAGTTGTCCTTAGACCGGACCTGCCCTGAGGGGGAGTGTTGAGAAGATGTAAGGTTCAGTCCAGGTCGGCGGGGATGAGGCTCGTGGAAGTAAGCCCGAGCAGAAGGACCGACGCGGAATGATGATCTGTCATGTAAATCCCCAGATCATCATGATAATAAGAAGACAGAACAACAGCTCTTAGTGTAGTTCAATCCAATACGTGGTGACCTAACATACCTCTACTCGGTTCCCTATGGTAGTCATACCACCAGAGGAGACCTTGTTCCAATAAGTTACTGAAATCCATGCAAGCCTTATCGGTTCCACACTCATCGTACGGAGTGCAGTGCGGCCGAAACTAAGATCTATTCGAAGATCCTACGGGAACACCGATAACAGGTCTCGACCAATGTATGAAACTAGGTAGAATACCTTCTCGCCTGTGCATTAGTAGAACTATCATTTAATTACCCGAATATCTAGGTAGCTAATCGAGCGCTTTTCACTAACTTGGTATTGCATGATAGGTATGCTTTAAAGTGGGAGTTGTAGCACATCTTCTGGGATATAGTTGTGATGGACAGTCATGCCCGCGGTGAGATGGGCATGGTTCCTCATGCAGATCATGGCTAGCGTGCTGCGTTGCAAGCATTTCGCGCCGCCTACCACGTCGTGGACCCTTGTGTTTTCGGGGTCCAATTCCGAGTCTTGTGGTCCAGGCCATAACAATTACTAGAGAACCGTGACTATAATACCGACCCTCCGGCCTTCCGCTGTCAAGCGCTGCCTACCTAGTGCGGTATTTGACGCTAACTTTGCGATAACCGGATAGGGCATAGTGCACCAATAGTAGACGTTCCGTCACAGGGAACTGCTCGCGCTATGGATCGTTAGTTTCCGACTGACGTTTCACGTAGGGCTGTTGCATCTTGTTTGAACTTGGTAGTAAACCCCCATCGTTTGACGACAAAGCCTTCCGGCTGATGATGGCGACAACGGACTGAATATCAAAGAGTTTGAATCTCTCCTTGATAACCACAATCGGCGTACTCACGAGAAGGCTGGCGCTTTATAGGTATCGGAGCCTACTAACCTCAAGAACTAGCATATTCGGGCAGCCTCAGGGCAAGTTGGGCATATACTGGAATCGGTCCGATTCCGCTGACGTTCAATATGTAGATTGGTTCGCGCATATCAGCAAAGCGACAGCATACATGGAGCCCTGGAGCTGTTCATGTCACGACGGCTTCCCGGTTAATAGACTTTGCGTTACTCGCCATTCCAAGGATGCTAGATACCATATGTAAGCTGACGTCTCGGCCATTTTGACTGTCACTATCAGACTCCGCAACAATCAATCGGATCGGCATGATTGATTCCTATCTAGGTTAAAGGCTGCCTAATGAAGTAATTCTTTAACCTATATAGGAATCAATCATGTCAATCGATTGATTGTTGCGGAGTCTGGTCACTATGCTTGGCACTCAAGTTCGAAAGGCCTCAGAGTGGTATGTATGTATGTATGTATGTAATCCATTAACGTCCTTTATCAGTCAGAGACTATGTAGGACGGTGGCAGATGCCATTCTAGCTATTTTTATCTCTCCTTTGACGTTCGTTGGTTGTGTTTTGACTATTGTGGTTTAGGCATGTCCCAGCTATTACAGGGGAGGAGAGAAAGTAAAACCCTATTATAGCTGCCTGTTTTTCCTTCTCTTCAACCTATCTCTTTTTGCAACGCTTTCCTCGTGTTCCTAAGTCTGAAAAAAACCTCGAAGGGGAAAAAGCCATGGGATCTTGAACGAGGCGTAGGGTTGTAACAAGCTTAGCGTAGTGTTGTAGTCGTAGCAGTACGTGGCTCGGGTGTACTGCGGCTATAAACTGTCGCTAAGTTTTTTGCAGGGGTAGGTGAAAATTTGCGAGTTGGAGTAAGCCGTTCGATATTTTTTTGGTAAAACCACAAGTGGCGGTGAGAGGAGAAGGATCTCAGAGTGGTAGCGATCTAGAAATACCACCTTAAATTCATCGTGCCGCGGGTATCAGCACAGTATCATTTCATCGTCCCTCATTCTGATTTGTTTCATATCAGCTTCCAGTATTCACAAAAGACACCGGAAACAGGTTTCGCCAAGCAGCTAATATGAAGACCTCGCGCCCTGGACTTCGCCGGCTACGTAATTCTTGCGATATCTGCACCCTTTCCAAGCTCAAATGCAGTCGCGAGAAGCCAGTCTGTCAAAGGTGCGTTGATCGCGGCTGCGAGCGGGACTGCAGTTACAGCGTAGCACGTCGCCCAGGAAGGCGGCGTCATACATCCGTGAGCCCCGACCATGGCGGATCCTACGGTCCGGACGCCACCGGAAGTGAAATAATGGGACAAGAAACGGCACCGCTAACACGGTCACCACTCCGTACAGATATGGTGCTTTCGGTAGAGAAGCGTCAAGATTCGACTCGGGGTACGCCACAATACAGAAGGTCGACGGATCGGGATGATGAGATGGTAGCTACAAGACTTCCCGGAACAGAAATGTTGGATTCATTCACGCATGCACCACTAGATATAAGCCGCGGTGGTAGTGCGGCTGATCTTGAATCGATTGAGAACTTCGCACTATGGGAGTGGGACGAGCCCGAGATCGACATGGATGCCCCATATTGTCACTTAGCCTCCGCAGCACAGATGTGGGACCTCTCGTCACGCCACGATATCCTCAGTGGCACTATCCTTGGCGTCAACAACAGTACCGGGGAGCCGTTACAGCAGCCATCACCGCAGCTAAGTGACATCCACCAGCGAGCCCAATCACAGAACGACCAACCCTTGTTTGCACCTGCGACAGATGTTCCGAAGAATCCGAATCCTTCCGGCTCACCGGTGTCCGATATTCTCTCGGATATATCCAGAAACGTGGATTGCAAATGCTCTTCTCAACTTGGCCAGCTCATGGGCTGGGTTAGCCTGCGGCCCACGACACTTCTTCCGCTGGATGTCGTGTTTGCTCTGGAGCAACTATTGAACCAGACCAAGAACACGATATCCGCATGTAAAAATTGCTCACTCAGCTCACCATACATGAGCATGATGTTCTGTACATCGATGTGCTGGGTGATTGAGCATCTAGAGACCTATATACGAGGGACAACTGGCGTTAGTGCCCATAGCGGTCAGATCACACATCTGACAGTTGGCGGCTTGAGACTGAGTAAAGAGATGTCACAAACATGCTTCGAGGCACTGGTAAAGCTCCGTCTCAGACGAGTCGTCCAGACAGCACGAGAGTTGGCGGGTTTTAACAGTGAGGTGAAGAGTACACTGTTAGATGGAGTGCGGTCTGCGGCAGCCGAGACTGGAGCCGCAGCACAGCAGATGTTTGGGATGTTGGAGATGAGGGCTGCCTTCTGAAAGAGAATGGGTAATCGGGTCTACATACACCATGATGCAAGAACATGGTATACGATTTTTATGACAAAGCTCTCGGTTTGACTTTTGCCAGTGTAGCGTCCGATCGATCTTCAATCTTCAATCACAATCTCCCGACATATTTGAACTTTAGTGACTCGATCATATTCTGGACGACAATCATTTCAGGTGGCTGACTAGGGAGATCATGTCAGCTCGTAGATGGTATGCATATTACTACCATTATCCCGATGCCTACATCACGTGATTAAGCCTCGGGTCATTTCAATGTTGTCACCCTTTCTGTTCTGACTGTAAGAATTCCACATATTTCTGAAAACGTCATATTGGCCCAAATCGAGTTGTAACCCTTTGAGGTACTGTCGACCCAACCAAGCGGTTATCCAAAGCTACCGCACCTAAAGAACTTCAAACAATCACAGCAGCGCACCAACTTCGCGATCGCAAGAAGACCCAAAACTTGCCATTTATTCAAATATATAGCCTAGAGTTCTTAAAAGGCTCATAGATAAAGGATATGAGTTTCCAACTGGAGGCGTCACATAATTCCAACTAAGAACAATGGCAGCGACACTCACTGAGGTATCTCGAAATTCCTTCACCAACCCTACAAGAGAAACAACACTAACAAGCCCCTGAAGCCCCCACTCCCCACCATCATCCAAACTGCACACCCAATCTTCTACATCGCCCTCACCCTCCTCATCCTTCTCTGGGCAACAAAATCCCTCCTCCTCCCATACCTCCGTCTCCGCCACATTCCCGCCGCTCATCCCACAACGCCCTTCTCCTACCTCTGGCTAGGCCGTACAACCTACAGCGGCCGCCAATACCAAGTCCTCCGCGACCTCCACACCCAACACGGCCCCCTCGTACGCATCGGCCCCAACGAAGTCCTCACCGACGACCCTGTCGTCCTGCGCACCGTTTCAGCTACACGCAGCAACTATGCCCGCAGCGACTGGTACCAAGCTGGTCGCTTCAATCCGTACCATGATAACCTGTTTACGATCCTCGAACCCGGAGCGCATAAACGGGCAAAGGCGAGATCCATGGCTGCATACAATGGACGCGAGACTTTAGGTTTGGAAGTTTCCATCGACGAACAAGTTAGAGTGCTGGTTGACATTGTGAGGGGGCGGTATGCAGTAGCTGCTGAGTCGCCGGAGGGTGGAAGAGGAAAGCCGCTTTTGGACCTGGGCAAGATCACGTGCTACTTTACCATGGACGTTATTACGAGGCTTGGATTTGGGAAGGCGGTGGGGTATTTGATCGAGGAGATGGATCACTATGATTTTCTGAAGACGGTGGATGAGCTATGGCCGAGGATGTCGACCGTGGCTGATGTACCGTGGATCCGCAAGTTTTTGTTCTCGAAGTTTGTGCTAGGATTGGTGGGGCCGAAGAATAGTGATAGGACGGGTTTTGGGGCGTTGATGGGGTATGTTTTGCGTCCCGACTCATCCTTGTTTTCCCTGTGAAGTAACTTCGCTGACTTTTTGGGCAGATTTGCGGCCGATCAGGTACACCACCGCTTCGCAGCGCCTGATAGTGGTAAAAAGGATTTCCTGGCCTCATTGATCGCCCGCGGCTTCACAGAAGAAGAATGCCAATCCGAAGGGCTGTTTCTCCTACTAGCAGGCAGCGAGAGCACCGCCAACGCCCTACGTTCCATCCTCGTACACACCATGAGCTCACCTGTGGCATACAACCGCCTCATTGCTGAGATTGAGGATGCGGTGCGGACGGAAAAGGTTTCGTACCCTATAACATTGGAGCAGGCGCAGAAACTGCCGTATTTACAGGTATGGTACGCATCCTGTGATTCTTTGACCCGTTCACTAAGTCCTGGCTCTCCTTGTATAGGCTGTCATCTACGAAGGCATTCGCATGCGGCCACCTCTTCTCGGTCTGTTCCCGAAGATTGTGCCGGCAAATGAATCACCTATTTTCAACGGCAAGTTGCTGCCCCCGGGCACCGCCGTATGCATGAACATGTCGTCTATGCTGCAATCAACTGCTCTATTTGGCGTCGACGCCGCCGTGTTCCGCCCGGAGCGCTTCAGCGAAGCAGATAGCGAGAGACGCAGACAGATGGAGCAAGACGTTGAGATGGTGTTTGGATATGGAGGCTGGGTATGTGCTGGGAAGACGATTGCAATGATGGATATGGTGAAGGTAGTTTTTGAGGTATGTTCCTCCCTTTTTCAATTGCGTTAGTGGTGTGAGTGTTTGCTGATGGAGAACAGTTGTTTCGCGTGTTTGAATTGCAGCTTGTGCGCCCCCTTGAGCCATGCAATACGCTCAGCTATGGCGTCTTTCTTGAGAAGGGACTTATGGTGAAGGTATCGGAGAGGGCTTGAGAAGGCTTGAGAAGACTGGAAGCGCTTTGCGTTGGGCACGGTCGAAGGGAGGGAGACAGGACGATCAAAGCGAATGATGAAGGAGGACCTAAGATGTTAATGTAGTTTTGCCACTTCTCAGCTCATCCGTCCACCAATCAAAAATGCTTTCTATAAAATCCAAGTGCGGATGCAATGATGTTGTGAATGTGTAAAAGATACAGCGACGAACGACTTCGTGGAAGCCGCCGATGAAGAGGCCATGACCAATAGACACACATCATTCTACTGCATGCAACGAGTACTATCCTACCATCCCAACCAGAAGCCTCCGAAAACCTCCTCACGAAAACCTTAGTTTGCTGGACTGGCTTGTGGATCCTTCATACTAATCATGACGGTCTTTGACTGCAAGTATTCCTCCAAACCAGCCATTCCACCTTCGCGGCCATAGCCACTTTCTTTGCATCCGCCCCAAGGCAACTGGGTCAAGGGCATGACGGGGCTGTTGACGCCAACCATGCCGACCTGCAGGGCGCGGGTTAGGCGTAGGGCACGCGGCATGCTAGAGGTGAAGACGGCAGCGGCGAGCCCGTAGGATGAATCATTGGCTAGCGCAATGGCTTCTTCCTCGGTGGAAAAGGTCTTGAGAGCCAGAACAGGGCCGAAGATTTCCTCTCGATATGCGCGACTGTTGGTAGGGGGGTCGATGAGGAGCGTGGGCGGGATGAACGGGGCTGAGGCCGGGTGGTGCGGGGGCACCTCGCCTGCAACCACGCTGACACCGCCGTCACGGGCGGCATCTACAAACGCCTGGACTCTCTGACGATGCGGCTCGTCAACCAGAGGACCGAAAAATGCTTCCGAGGGCGCGCCGTGGGCTGCCGCCAACTGTTTGAAAGCAATACTGATGCCTGCAATGAAGGCGTCGGCCATGTCGCGGTGGACCAGCACTCGCGAGGCTGCCGAGCACACCTGGCCGCCATTGAAGGCAAATGTCTGCGAACAGTGCGCAATTGCGCTCTCCACGTGGGCATCATCGAAGACGATTGCGGCCGACTTGCCTCCCAGTTCCAGTGTGACGGCCTTGAGATTACTCTTCGCAGCTGCGACCTGCACCGCGCGGCCACCGCTGACGGAGCCCGTGTAGGCGATCTTACGAATGGCCATGTGCGAGGCTAGAAGAGCGCCTGTCGCTGGCCCGCCCGACACCAAATTTACCACGCCGGGCGGAAATCCAGCCTCCCTGAAGAGCTGGCCTAAATATAACGTACCCAACGGCGACTTCTCGGACGACTTGAATACGAACGTATTTCCTGCTGCTACCGCCGGCGCTATCTGGTACTCGTTAGTCGACTGATCAGCATGCAGAGAGCATCATTCCTCACCTTCCACCCAGCAAAAATAGGCGTTGCATTCCAAGCCCCAATCCCTGCGCATACACCAATCGCCTCCTGTAGCACCATCTTGAAAAAGCCATCGCCGTCTTCCGTGTACGTTGTGCCTGCAATCTTGTCCGTCAACCCAGCATAGTATCGGAAAACTGCCACGTGACTTCCCACCACCCTCCGCGCCAACATCATGGGACATCCCATGCACTGCGACTCCAACTGGGCGATTTCTTCCGCGTGTTTCTCGACCAGGTCAGCGTATTTGACCATCACCCCACTGCGTTGTGCGCCCGTCATTGCCTGCCATACTGGCAACGCTGCCTGCGCTGCTGATACGGCCAAGTCGACGTCTTCTTCCAGCGCTACTTCGATTTTGTCCGAAACAAGGCTTCCATCGTAGGGGTTGTGTACCGTCAGTCTCTCGCTAGAATGCGATGTCACATACTACGGTCAATTACATTAGCACTTGTCTTGCGATATATCTTGATCGGCTTTTGCTCACCTCGTTGTTGATAAACAGTTTTTCCTGTATCTTCATCATTTCTGATCTTCAAAACTCTTGGATGCGATTACGAGATATCCCAGGTAGATTTGTAATTGGTTTATCACCAGATGAGAAGGTTCAGTCTACAAAGAAGTGGAAACTTGCCGGCTCATGCTGAGTGACTTCAACTTCGCCTTGGCCTATTCACGTCATGATACCAAAATCAACATGCGCTACGATACGCCAGTGCGTAGCTAGCAAAGGTATCATTAGAAACCATTGACCCGATACATCGATGCAGTAATTCGATGTTTCTCGGGACATTGCCCTTCAACCCGTTGAAGCTTCCAGACCAATATGATGTAGTCTTTAGTAACCTGGTACTGTATTATACCTCCGGTAGTAACTCAAGACTTCTACTCATGCACTCTACCGAGCTTCTTTTTTTCCTCATACTTCTATTCATCATCGCACGCTTTCACGGTTCCTATCGGGTCTTTGGTATGGGTACTTCGGGTGGATAGCCTATCACCCGCATTTGACCCGACTAGCGTCGTTAGCTGTCGACCGCCCGCCCGACCACCAACAACTGTTCCTTGGCCGTTGGAAGAACCATGTGAGTATGGAACAATGTTCTCAGTTAGCAGGAATACGGAGACGCCAAACTTAGGCCAAGTCGACTGTATCCCAGTTCAAGCGAACTGTCACCCAGATCTTAGCCACAAGCCAGATGTATGAGCATATCCTACACATCGTTCAAGTTTCCTGCAAGATTATCTGTATCCGATATGCATACTGGAGTAGTTTACTTCCGCACCGCGTTGAGCTCGTGGTCCTGGCCAGCTCTCTGCGCGGCGCTGACCGGGGTCTTCATCATCTACCTGGTGTACAGAATTGAGGTTCACCCACGCCTTTTCAACCCTTTTCGACATCTTCCCACAGCAAAGGTAAGAAGTTTTCATGGGATATTCGAGGCACAGCTAACCCAGCTGCTCAGAATGGACTACCATTCCTTGGTCATGGACTCCTTCAATTCACCAACCCTCGCGGGGAAGCTTATCTGGAAATGGCCAACTCCATTCCCAATCAGGGGTTGATCCACTTCCACGGGTTCATGAATGTTCATCACCTTCTGTTAGTCAGCAACGAGGCCCTCTCCGAGGTTCTGGTCCGTCGTGCATATGCCTTCACCAAGCCAGCGGTAGCTCGACGTCTGCTCAGCCAGATCCTGGGGCAATCTCTTCTCATCCTCGAAGGCGACGAGCATAGATACCTCCGAAAACGCATTCAACCTGCCTTCAATTATCGGAATGTCCAAGATCTTTGCCCAATCTTCTGGTCGAAAGCCGTTGACATGGTGGAAACAATAGAGCAGTCTGCTGCCTCGGCCGACGCACCGGATTTTGTAGTGGATGTGTTGCCTTGGGGTAACAAAGGCACCCTTGATGCAATCGGCTTGGCTGCACTTGGTAAAGACCTTGATACGCTGCGGAAACCAAATGAGCTTATTGATCTCTATGAGCTTGTGACTGGCAGCAAAGAAAGCGTGCGTCTCTTGTTTATTGCCAACGCTTTCCTTCCGGCCTGGCTACTACGATTTCTGCCGCGCAAGTTCAATGACGATATTAACGATGCTCGTATAAGGCTGCGACAGCTTTGCAGCACTTTTGTAGCGGAGAGGAAGAAGGAAGCTTTGGAAGACGACAGCTCAAAGGCGATCTTGTTGCAGCTTATACAGAGCGGAACGCTGACGGATGACGAACTTATCGACCAACTTCTGACCATTATAGGCGCAGGGTAAACCAAAACTCAAGTTGATAAACATTGACCCACCTTTACTAACCACTAACCAGCTACGAGCCCACCTCAGCAACCTTCACCTGGACCCTCTGGCTCCTAGCCACCCAACCCATCTGGCAAGCCCGTCTCCGCGCCGAACTCCGTGCCCACATCCCCCACCGCTTCTTTCTCAACGATGCACAAAGATTCAGCGACTCCGCCACCCTCGACACTCTCCCCGTCCTCAACGCCATCATCAACGAAACACTCCGCTTTATGCCCACATCCCCCATCACCTCACGCATCGCCACACAAGACACTACCATCCTCGGCAACCACATCCCCGCTGGAACGCGTCTCTGGATCGCCCCTGCTGCCATGAACCGCTTCACATCCTTCTACGGCGCGACGGCTGATGCTTTCGACCCTGGTCGCTGGATTGATGCCGACAGCGGTCGAGCAAATAACCACGGTGATGCGCAGACTAATTACGCATTTCTTACATTTTTGCATGGCCCGAGGAAATGTATAGGTGCCGGGTATGCGAAGGTTAAGTTACGCGCTTTTGTGGCGGCGTTTGTGGGGAGCTTTGAGTTTGAGTTGGCAGATGCAGAGTATGTGCCAGTGCCTGGGGGCATTACTGCTATTAAGCCGAGGGATGGTTTGCCGTTGAGATTGAGAAGGGCGAAGATGTGGTAGTACATGTAAGAAGTACATAGCCTGTAGCAGCATGTCACTTGATGCACAACGCATAATACCGCATACATACTACATCTGTTACCTCCCATCCTCAGCTTGGACAAATTTTGTCGGCACCATTGTATCGAGGAAAGCAGAATATTCATCTACATTCACTGACCTACAACCCCCTCCGCTCAACCGCTCCAACAGAGGAACATGGCCGCAGCTCTACCAAAAACCGCTCCACTATTTCCAACTGACCACATCTTAGATCAACTCCCGTTCCTTGAACCTCACATACAAACCTGGCCTATTCAACGTCTGATACGACCTCAGCAGCTCCGTATCAGGATCTAAACTCCACCTTCTATTCTGCGCGCCCTCAGCGCCCTCAGTCTCGAGTTCAAAATCAAAGACCCACAGCAAATGCGCCACGATCAGCCGAATCTCATAGTACGATAAGCTCTGACCCATGCACTGTTTTGGGCCAGCTCCAAACGGCGTTGACGCGGACAAGTGGTCATTTTCAAAAGCCGGGTCCCAGCCTTGTTCGGTATGGTTGCGCAACCATCGCTCAGGGTGGTACTCATTGGATAGGTGGAAATTGCGCGCAGACCGCACCGCCGCCCATGGAGCTACGGATACCAGCGATCCTCCGGGTAATGTATGCGGTCCGATCTGTGCGCCCTTTGCGGGCACTGCACGTGGCAGGTTGGAACTGACTGGCGGGAAGATGCGCAGTGCCTCTTTGATGCAGGCATCGAGGTAAACCAGATCTTCCAGCTTTTGTAGGGTAATTTCACTTGGGTCGGCGAAAGTGGTGCGGATCGTAGTAGCGAGACGGTGGTAGACGTTGCGATGGGTGCAGAGGTTGTATATGAAAGTGACGAGGAGGGTGGAAATGGTTTCTGAACCGGCGGTCACGAGGAGCGTCATGTTGAGGAGGAGTTCGGTGGGCTCAAGCGTCTTGCGGGCATCTTTGTTGCGTTGGATGTGGTATATGACATCTTTGTGAGACGATGTTTCGTCGGCGAGACCTTGGGATAAGTTAGCTGACTGCATTCTCATACAGTTCGCGTCAACTTACGTTCAAAGGTCTTCTTGCTGGTGTTTTTGAAGGAGATTTGTCGCCATTTCATTGCTTCAGCTGGCATGAGCTTGACTGCCATACGATTGAGCCAAGTGCCCACGCCCGTCACTCTCCGAACGGCCATGTCCAAGGTTGAGGAAATGAGGACGTTGGTTGTTGCTAGCGCCCACTCAGTCGCGACGCCTCCATCAAGACAGTGAAACGATTCACCAAAACATAGATCGCCGATGATGTCGAATGTCGTAAACGATACTGCATCTCGTTAGAAGCCTATCCCAAGTTTAATGGCAAGTCGAAGAATAGTCATACACCAGTCGCTCATATTTAGAGCTTTCCCACCCTTTGCTCGTGTCTTGATTGCGTGAATCAGTTTGTACGTCTGAACCTCCAGTATCTCCTGCTGCGCCATGAGGGCAGATTTTGTAAACCCGACTGCCATTGCACGACGCTGCCGGGTATGCTCTGAACCTTTTGCAAGGCCGATTCCGACACATCCGTTGATTGGCTTTACAACACCAATGAAAAGTGGCGCTTTTTCCATCACGTCGCCGTGCTAACATGTAATTGTTAGTTGATTATGCGGCTGATATATCGATGCTAGTGACTGTACATACGCGATTGCCGTAAATATGTTCCCAAGCGTATGGTTCCGCAAAGCTGAGTTCATTGGGAGAGATGCGCACAACTGGTCCGTATCTCTCGTGTAGTTTGTAATTGTACAAGTGTTGGACGCCTCGGAAAGCTGCAACTGCGCTTGGGATGTTTGACACACTGTTGAGCCATGGCCCTGGGTATCTGCTCAGACGGTGCATCCATCGGAGATGAACAGTTTGCGCTATGATGGAAAACAATATCTTGAGTGAGGTTCAGCGTGGGTCTTGTCTTGAGTCACGTGACATACCAGTAACAAAATGGTCCATCCTGCAATGGGGATATGTGACGATGTGACCTCCATTCTAGCAGCCAAGGCAATTGCACGATGAACCCAAAAAGCGTCTAGTAGATTCACAAGGTAGGATGATGAATCAGAGGAACCGCATTTGCCAATACCACGTTAATGTGTTTACTCACAAAGTCGATAATTCGCCATGGAATACCGTCGGCACATATACCTGTCAAATCGAGGCATTCATTATGTGACCCTGTCAGTCTGCAAAAACAATCAACCGAACTGAGCCGAAGAACAAAACAAATGCAACGCTTCATGCCGCGTCCGCGGCAATGGAATACATGATGGCCCCATTCTGTCTACGTGCTTATTACAAGTACACTCGATTGTCAAAAGGACCGGAGGCGCTATTGACTAAGAATGTCGGGTTCTGCGGTAGTGATTCAGATGAACCATGGTACGCCAGCCAGCGAAGGCTGACGTAATAACCCGTTGGTTTTGTTTAGAAGGCCCTGGTTTTCGGGTCATTTAATACGTCCTCCGCTTCCGCGCCTGAAATTAGACTCCGCAACAATCAATTCAATCCGGTCACTCTCCTAGACCCACTTACCTATCTAGGTAGGGCTTAAACTCCTATAGGTAACTACTAGGCTTAAAGCGGTAATCAATCAATCCAATCTGAACCTTCTAGGACCCACTTAATTGATTGTTGCGGACTGTGCCTGAAATAGTAGACGATGGTAAGATGAAGCCCCGGATTCAGGCTCCATTTGTTTCGAAAGGGAGACATACACTGCCAAGATATCAGCATGCCAAGTTGTACTCTACCATAAAGATGGTGACCTATGGCGTTGCTATGTTCACTACCATTAGAGACTCTTCCGAGGTTTCTGGATTCTTCATTTTATAATTCCTTTTCAACACCATGTCCAGCTTTCTAACCACAGTCCTGGCAAATGCCATTGGCACCGGAACTGCTTGGACCGCGCTTTTGCTGCTCAAAGCTCAAATGCCACATCCCAAAGATGACCAGAAATCCATAACACCGCCACAGGAGCCACTTGATGACAAGTCCTTCGTTGTCCGCGAACGCTGGTACTACCCGCCAGATATCGCGGACGACCTGAAGGACATAGATCTTCCTTTCCGGGTCAAGCAGGAGATCTTTGCGACTGCATGGGAGTATACCCGCTGTGTTATCCCTGAATATACCAATTGGTCACGATATGTCGCCTTCATGCGCATCATCGTCATGGGTATCATTGCAGAGTTCCGTGGTAGCCTCATGGACGTGGCCAATGACGACAATGTCGTGGGTTACAGTCTCACCGAAGTGCTGAACACCTTGTGCGCCGGAACAAAGGGCCAGTACGTTCAACCCTATCAATTCCCATCAAGTTCCTTCGTGTCTGCAGCTGACATGACCCTCTTCTCAGTGACGAAATGTGCCGCGAATACCGCTGTTTTCTCCTAATGTCATCCCAAAAATCCCGCCACCAGACAAACACCACGCTATTCCGCCGATACAGTGTCGCTCTCTCCAAAAGCCCGTGGCAATTCTTCCGCATGCGCGACACCGACGCTCTCGCCCGCTTTACCATCGGCGTCGCCCTCGCCTGCAACGACCTCGACGACATCTGGTTCACCTCGGCCCAATTTGACATCATGGCCGAAATTGGCAACACAATGTACGACGGCATATCCTACTGGAAGCACCGTTCCGAAGGCGAGATCAACAGCACTTTCGCATACGTCTCAGAAGACAAGCGCGTGCTGGCGTATCATAAATGCCGTGAGGCGCTCTGGGCACTGGACGTGGCTTGGGCGAGGAAACCGGAGTTGAAATGCGTCATCAATTTTCTCCGCTACTTCGGGGGACCAATTCATATGATTATGCGACGGTACCGGTTTGTGGAGGAGGGGCTTACGCTGGGGAAGCCGGAGACTAAGCGGGTTATTGCGCAGACTCGCAGCAATGTTAAGCTGTGGAATCGGCTTGATGAGCAGAAGAAGACGGAGAAGCAGAAACTGGAGAGCCTTGAGCAGTATCGTCATGTTCTATCTCAAGAGGATGTCTTGTTGTTTGATGGGTTGGCTCCGATGTTAGAACGGGCTGATGAAGGTTTGTGCTCTGAGTGCAGTTATCGGGAGACGTATGGTGCACCGCAGCCTCATACCTTTGGTGGAGTCGTCCTTTGTGAAGGGTGTAAGCACAGATGGGGGGTGTATACTGAGAGTGTGCTCGAGCGTATGGTCAAGTGCTTTCCAGAGGCTGCTGAGACAGTTCGTTTGAGTGAGGCGCGCGCGGCCTGAATGCTGCCGTCGCAGCCAATGAGTGGGGTTCGTAGAGTATAGGCAGTATGTATAGTTTCGAGCGATTCTGCGTCTTTTTATCGTCGTCCAAAGTTTACTCACGTCTTTGTGGAGCCGTTGTTTTCACGAACAGGTTTTATTGTACATAGAATAGAACCCCGAACATCAAATTTGAATATAGAACAAAATATCTTTGACCTTGAGGGAAGTTTACACAGTGCAGAGTGACTCACTTTGGTATGTGTCTCAGTTATTTCCAGACTCCGCAACAATCAATCGGATCGGCATGATTGATTCCTATCTAGGTTAAAGGCTGCCTAATGAAGTAATTCTTTAACCTATATAGGAATCAATCATGTCAATCGATTGATTGTTGCGGAGTCTGGTTATTTCAAACGCCATCGTAAAGTGACATCTTCGAATCTGCCGCTACAAAGTTCCACCGCGATCATGAAGGCCTCTCCGAACCTTATGTCAAGCACATCGCAATCACTAAAAGCTGCGACACTACCTACCCACTTTCCGAGGTCACTGTGCTTCTCCACTTCTATACGTTTCTCACACCATGCGTTTGTCAGATTGGTGGAACAGCATTGTCCTGCAACTTTATTTTTATCCCAGTACATATTGCACAAACTTTATCAACTAGATTAATGGTCGTGCTCCTTCTCTTCACAAATCCTGATACACTTCGCATTGCGCCAACGCTGGATCGGAGGCAAATGATTCAAACACGTCTTCCGTTACGTTGAAAAACAAATTCAGCCCATTCCTGTACCAGGTATTGCCGGATACTCCACCGCTTGGCACAGCCTCTGTCAAGACAAAAAGATTCGGTATGGATGACGACGGAAAGTAAAAGGAGGGGCGAAGAGATCCCAGACTGAACTTGTCGTATCCCAAGTGCGCCACGGAGCTGAACTCCATATGTTCATCACCCCTTTTTGGCATAAGGGTACGTGAAGGACTATCGGTGAAGGACGCGTCATAGGCAATTGCGTGGATTGCGGTGTCGTCATACTGGTTTAGGGTGTTGGTAACTCTAACAGCCAGGTTGATTGGATCAGTGGAATTTGTGGGGGCGCTATCTGCATCGGGGGAAATCATGACTACTACGAACGGCGATCCTAGTAGCCCATCGCGGACTCCTAGAAGCCAACGCAAGCTGGTGGCTAAGTGAAGATCAATGGGCAGACATTTTGAATAACCACGAGCTCGATTGAGACATGCCCAGAAGAAACCGATCAGCGCTGCTTGGTCAGTCAAGCGCATTGAGCTTTTTGACTGTAGCTCTGCCAGCTTGTGTCCTACTTCTTTGGCAGGTATGTGTAATAGATAGTTGTACATCTTCTTCGGTCCAAAGTTCGATACGATGTCGGAGCCATTCGAATGTAGAGTACGGCGATATGGGCCTCGTGTAGGAAGTGTGCGAGCTCGTTCAAGAAGCGATGGTCCTTGTTCGTGCAGATCGATATCAGCAAGTTGGTCGTTGAAGATGTCTGGCTGCCATGACGGTGGGTTCTTGAGCACTCCATTTCCGCTATGAAACAGCTGTCCATGGATCAACGACCAGTGCTCCAGAAACCTTCCCGCAGTATAACCGTCAGCCAAGCCGTGCTCAAAGTCGATGCCGAGACTGAAGCCGCCGCATGCGAACGTCGTAGTCTGGATGCGAATTCCGGGAGGCTGAGAGCAGGGCGTGGGAAACAGTGCGCGGAGAGATATAGGGGAATAGTCCCACATGAATGACGATTTGTTTAGGGTGGCAGGTGGAAGCAGGCTCTGGATGCGCGCCTTGGTGCGGGCCTCGGTGAATTCTACAGCTCTGTCGCTAGAAGTTCCCCATTTCACGATCGTTCTCTGAACTTGTTGTTTCTGATCTTTTGGATCTGGGTGTGTGGTGCCCTCCAAGACCCCAACAAAGCGCGGAAAGACATCAAGTGTTCGGGAAAGGCTTTCGATGATTTGCGCAACGAGTTCTCGCTGCTCATTTGTTTGTTTGAAAAGGTATATTGTAGGAACAGTACGATGGTAGGCATACCAAGCGTCCACGACGGGCAGGTTCGCAGACTGTGGCGATAGATTCTGGTGGCTCCGAGGCCAGACCTCATGTACTTTGACAATGTCAACTTTCATTTTGGGTGTCGTGAATGTCGGTAGTACTTCGAATTGGTCACTGGATATGGGGAAACTGCAATCGAACACCCCAGTAATGATCAAAGACATCGAGGTCACCTACGTGGTTGGGGATTGCGCTCGCGCGAGACCAGCCGCAAATCACCCGTTTGTCCCGATATGGTCGGAACTACTTCATGGTTGACTTTCATTATCCCGAATGTCCCAGGGTGCACTATCGGGACAGTAAGCGAGCTAAGATTGAGCGGCACTACGCATTGAGGCTCGTTCTGAGATGGTGTGCCACAATACCTGGGTACCCTGCGCGAGAGATTACAGGCACCCGCGACTGCCCCGAATGTTCAGTCGATCGATTAAACCACCGTCATTCAGCAACAGCGTTCCGTTTCCCTCGGGGAGGCGAGCGCATAAATGCGGCCGTGCATTCAGGTATCGACTGCAATTGACGCCGTCCATAGTTGTGGATTCAGATGGGAGCGTCCACACATACATAGCTAGTTATCCCACATCGGACACGCTCATATAAAGACCAATCGTTCATAGCCAAGCTTGCTGCACGGAAGCTGTTTCTCAGTTTCATTGAAACCAACCGCCGAATCACGCACCACATCTTCACTATGCAGCGGCATTCTACCAATGGCATCAACGGTCGACGATCTAGTGACGTCCCGCAGACAGGTTCAGATGACCTTTCGAATTCCATAGCCATAGTTGGCATCAGCTGCAAGTTTGGAGGTGCAGCTGCCAGCATGGATGGGTTATGGCACACTTTGACCAGCGGTGCAAGTTGTTGGTCCCCAATACCCAAGAGCCGCTTCGACATTGCCCACACGTACCATCCCGACCCGCTGCGAACAGATAGTGTACGTACAATCTTAAACTCTCTTTTTTTATCCAGTAATTAGCGATTGACTGTGTACAGCTCCATGTAAAGGGCGGATTTTTTATTGAGGAGGATCTGACGAAATTTGATGCGCCGTTCTTCAACCTCACAGCGGAGGCTGCCAAGGCCATGGACCCTCAGCTTAGGCTGCTTTTGGAAGGGGTATATCAGGCGACTGAAAATGGTAAGCTACACATTCTTCCAGCAAAAAGCTATAGAGTCAAATCTAATGTAAATATAGCGGGAATCCCCACTGAGAAGCTTGCTGGGTCCAACACTTCTGTATTCTCTGCAACCTTTGGCAGAGATTACACAGAAATGCTCATGAAAGACGCGGATGCACTTCCCACGTCGTTAGTCACTGGAAATGGCCCGGCGATGTTCGCAAACAGAGTCTCCCATTTCTACAACCTACAGGGTCCAAGTATCACCGTTGATACGGGATGTTCAGGTGGCCTTGTGCCCTCACATGGGCGTCAATAGCATTCGGAACCGAGAATCAGATGTCTCTATGTTGGGACTTCCAATGCAATATTGAACCAAGACTTCTTCATTGCCATTTCGAATCTCGGCCTCCTGCATGAAGATGGAAAATGTTACTCTATGGATCATCGCTGGGGAGGCTACGGGAGGGGCGAGGGTATGGCAGTGTTGGTGTTGAAGAAGCTCTCTGCAGCGGTCGAAGACGGGGACCACATTCACGCTGTGATACGCGAATCAGCTGTCAATCAGGACGGTAAAACAGGGACCATAACTTCACCATCCATGGAGGCGCAGCGTTCCCTCATTCAGCAATGCTACAGCCGGGCGGGAATAGACCTATCGTCCACCGGGTACGTGGAGGCTCATCTCACAGGAACCGGGGGTGATGCAATCGAAGCTGAAGCCTTGGCGAGAACTTTTGGAAAATCGAGAGAATCAGGTGACCCAATTTGGGTCGGATCTGTCAAAAGCAACATCGGACACACCGAACCTGTTAGCGGGCTGGCGGCCGTTATCAAAGCGGCTCTTATGCTACGACACAAGCAAATTCCTGCCAATATCACTTTCGAAAAGGTAAATCCAAACATTCCATTAGATGAGTGGAACTTACAGGTACCGACATCTTTGATACCATGGCCTCAAAACAAGCCATTGAGGATATCTGTCAACAATTTTGGCTACGGTGGGACTAATGCACACCTCATCCTGGACGCGCCCCCAATCATAGACATGCAGAATCATCACGAACCCCAAGATATCACTAAACCTTTGTCTTTGGTCTACATCTTGACCGCAAAAGAAGAGGTTGGCACGATTCAAAGAAGCAGAGACTTGGCAAAGTACATTCAAAACGCGCTGCAAGATGAAAGCGTACCAGCGCCAAAAGACCTTGCCTACACACTTGTTGAGCGTAGATCGCGGTTTCCATGGTCAATCGCTGTCAGAGCTCGCAGTTTAGGGCAACTAGCAGAGATTCTCGAAGACCCGCGCCGGCAGCCAATTCGCGCATCGTCTTCCCCAGTCCGGATAGGCTACGTTTTCAATGGCCAAGGGGCGCAATGGTATGCCATGGGCCGCGAACTAATGAGCGCATCGGAGGTGTTCAGTACATCGATCGACCGCGCAGAAGCTCACCTGCAGGGATTTGGCGCGCTTTGGTCATTGAGGGAAGAGCTATCACGAGATGCGAGAAGTACGCGAGTCCATGATGTTGAGTTGAGCCAGCCACTCAGTGTCGTTGTTCAAATTTGCTTAGTGGACTTGCTGCGATCTTGGAAAATCACTCCATCGGCTGTAGTCAGTCACTCAAGTGGCGAGATTGCGGCAGCCTACGCAGCGAATGTACTTTCATTCAGAGAAGCTGTCGGGGTCGTATACCATCGCGGACGACTTGCCAAGAAGTACCAAAAACTTGCAGCACTCTCAGGTGGGATGATGGCTGTTGGTTTAGGCGCAGAAGATGTCCAGGAGTATATCACTAATCTCCCTTCTGTGGGCCGAGTGGTGGTCGCTTGCATCAACAGCCCAGCTAGCGTCACAATCTCCGGTGACCTGGACGCTCTCGATGTAGTGGCAGATCGTTTGGACGCAGATGATGTTTTCGCGCGAAGACTAAAAGTCCCATTAGCGTACCACTCACACCATATGGAATTCATGGCTGAGGAGTACCAAAGTTGTCTGGAAGAGCTTCTCGGACCCTCCAAAGAGGGCGACTTGGACATCGTTTTTGCATCTCCAGTGACTGGTGGCATTGTCACTTCACGCTCAACCTTTGGTGCTACACATTGGGTACGCAATCTCACAAGTCCCGTTTTGTTTTCTACCGCCTTGAAATCGATGATCTTTGGATCATATGGGCCTCATGACGAAGCGAGTGTACCGCCAGCGTCAAATCAGCAGATTTCCATCTGCCTGGAGATTGGAGCGCATGATACGTTGTCAGGTCCTGTCAGACAGACCCTGCGCGATACGCGCATGCCATATATCTCATGTCTGAAACGACCCCTGAATGCGGTGGACACAATGCAAGATGTCGCTTGCGTTCTGGTGGCCCGAGGCTACCCTGTTGATCTAACAGCAGTCAATAACCCATCTTCGAAATCCTCGTGCCAATTTACCTATATCCACGACCTTCCGGAGTATCCTTGGAATCACCAGAATTCCTATATGCTTGAACCACGAGCTTCTGAAGAGCACCGACTCAAACGTTTCAAGCCCCATGAATTACTTGGCAGACTTGTTCCCGGCACAAACCCTCTCTCTCCTACTTGGCGCAACTTCCTCCGCGCCAACGATATTCCTTGGCTTATTGACCACCAACTGGAGTCCAGTGTGGTTCTACCGGGTGCGGGATATGTTTCAATGGCTGTTGAAGCAATGCGTCTCTTCAAAGACAACTCCGATGAAGATGCGCCTGGTTTGCAGTATCAATTGCGCGATGTGGATATTGTGAACGCTCTCATAATACCGCATACGACGAGTTCGTCTAACAGAGGGACGGAAATCCATTTCTCACTGCGTCCCTGCAGTGAGAAGGACTTGGACAATGCAGACTGGTACGAATTCGAGCTGTGGTCAGTCAGCGCCAGACATTCTTGGATACGCCACTGCAAAGGCTGTATCACTGCTAGAACAGATCACAAGTCAACCCTACCGGAGATTCCGGTATTTTCGTCTGCTTCTGAAATTCTCAATAAGAAGCAGGCTAAGGAGGTAGAGCCTGAAACTCTGTATCGGAAGTTGCGAGACTCCGGGTTCCATCATGGGCCAACATTCCAGAATATCATTCAGACTCGAGTACTTGGCGAAAGATCGGAGACAAAATTCGCCATAGCTCCAGTGGCATTCGAGTACGAACAGCAATATGTGATACATCCAACGACACTGGACTCAATTTTCCAATGCTGCTACGCTTCCCTGCCAAGAGATCTTACAATGGACGCAATGTTCATTCCTCGCTCTATAGGAAATGTGACCATTCCTTCTCAGCTTGGCACTCATGTTAATCAAACATTACTCGCAAGCTTGGATTGCTTATCATCAGACTCAAAAGGCTCGCTATTTAAAGGGATAGTATGCGCTACCGGAGATGATGACTGTTTAGTCAACGGTGTGCGCCAGAAAGGAGCATTCGAGATTCAGAACCTTCGTCTTCAGCGTGTCACTCAGACGGCAACTGCTACTCAGAACACCAAGCCTTCAAACCTACCCATTCACTCCAAAAGTCGCTGGGAACTCAACATCCAATATGCTATTCCCGATGGTATCAAAGAATCAATGAGGATCGCGTTGAGCCAGCCTGAACTAGAGTTTGCAAGAAACGTTCGCGAAGTTTCCTACCACCATCTCGCTAGGGCTCTTCAGCAGCTGGGACCAACGGCCAATGAAAAATGGACATGGTATCACAAGCGCTTCTTCGAATGGATGGGTATGGTTGTCCAAGCAGCCGATGAAAATACTTTGATGTCTGGAAGCGGCTTGTGGCGCACTAGAAACGAAGCTTCCATCCAAAATCTTTGTAAAGAGGTGGCCCAAGCCAACGCCTCTGGGGAGATGGTACATCGCATCGGAAGACGTCTGTTTGACATTGTGGAGGGTAAGCTGACACCTCTGGAGTTGATGATGGAAGACGGACTTTTGAACCGGTACTATGAAGAACTGCCGCAACTTTGCAACGGCTCCTACAAGCATCTCCGAAAGGTTGTCGAGCTCTACTCTGTCATCGAACCTGGATCACGAGTCTTGGAAATCGGCGCCGGGACTGGTGGAGCTACCTCTGTTGTTTTAGAAGCTTTCGCTGCGCGATCAGAAGTTGAATCGGGCGCTTCACTACTGGGTCATTACGAGTTTACGGATATTTCTTCCGGCTTCTTCGGGGCAGCAAAGACCAAGTTCACTACTTGGGAAGATATGATGGCTTACTCCAAGCTCGATATAGAGCAGGATCCGGTGGAGCAGGGTTTCGCAGCCCACAGTTACGACCTTGTAGTTGCATCACATGTGCTGCACGCGACAACTAGTCTAAAGCGTACCTTATCTAACGTCAGGAGATTATTGCGACCAGGAGGCCAGCTCGTTCTGCTTGAAGGAAGCCAAGATTCCCTCGATGTCCAACTGATCTTCGGCACGGTTGAAAAGTGGTGGTTGAGCGAGGAGCCTGAACGTCAAACATGCCCCTATGTCAATTTGAAGGTATGGGACGATGCTTTGAAGGCATCAGGCTTCACTGGCATCGAATTCGAGATTGGAGACTGCGAGGATCCTGAGGTTCAGTTCACGAGCACCATCGTGACGCACGCCAAAGTTCAGGATCCTGTATATCCATCGTCAGTCTCCATCGTCGCACCAACTTGTTCGAAACCAGAAGCCTGGGTAGATCAACTATCTGACGCCGTGCAACATATTACTGGATCTGCGCCTATAATGCAGAGTTTTGGTGAGGCCGAAGCCAAAAACGACTGCTTGCTCATCATGGTGCTCGACCATTCTACACCCTTCATTGATACCATGGATCGCGAAGCATTTGAAAAGCTTCGGCACCTCTTGCTTCATTCCAGAGACATTCTTTGGCTGAGCTTTGGTGGTGCCATTGACACTGAGAATCCTCACTTTGCGCAAATGACTGGACTTTTCAGGACTCTGCGACGCGAGGATCCAAGTAAGCGGTACGTTCATCTGGCATGTGAACGATCTGAGAAATCACTGCCGACAGAAACCATGCAAATGCTTGCATATGTGTTTGAAAAGAGTTTTGACGACAGTATATCGGAGACTACCAACATGGATTGGGAGTATTCTGTCAAAGACAGGAATCTGTACGTTCCTCGCCTCTATCCGGATTTCGAACAAGATAGGGCTGCCAGTGGAGACGACCAACCTTTGCAGCTGCAAGCGTTCAGCTGCTCCGGCAAAACACTGGTCTTCCAGCCAACACGCAGCGGTGTATCGGGCACTGGGTTTTGCTTCATGGAGACTACCAACACAGTGGACGACTTACCGAACGGATTTGTCGAGGTCGAAGCGAAGGCTTTTGGTCTCAACATCGTAGGAGCAAATGAAGAAAACCGGTCGATTGCACATGAAGGTAGTGGTCTCGTCAGACAGCTTGGTCCAGGCACACAAGACTCTGGACTCCGTGTCGGCGATCGAGTCTGCGGCATCTTCAAAGGTCCTATCAGCAACAACGGTCGCGCTCACTGGACGAGCATCTCCAAAGTTCCCGACAACTTCACTTGGAGTGAAGCTGCATCTATACCATATGCACATGCAACCGCCTGGTTGGCCCTTTGTCACATAGCAAGGCTGCAAAAGCACGAGCGAGTGTTGTTACACTTCGCGACCGCTGGTGTTGGCCAAGCTGCTCTCGCATTGGCAGAGAACATCGGTGCTGAGATTTTTGTCGTTTGCGGGACAGATGAGGAGCGTCGAGTCCTGCTTGGGTATCACAACATCCCTTCTACCCACATCTTGCCTAGTGGAGCGGCCTCTCTCGTCGCTGCCATAATGTCTCACACCAATGGCCAAGGCGTCGACGTTACGCTAAGCCCCGTCACTGGACCATTGCTCAAGGCAACCTGGGAGTGCACTGCTCCGTTCGGTCGATTTGTACAGATCGGTAAGGCCGATGCAGAACGATCGAAGCATCTTGATATGTGGCCTTTTGGCCGCGGCGTATCTATGACTGGCCTGGACGTTCTTCAGTACAGCGAAATGAAGGGTGCGATGGTACACACTGCGTTGGCAAAATCCATCGAATTGCTTCAACACAAGCGAACCAGACTTACAGCCCATCTCAACATCTTCAAACTCGCCGAAGTTGACAAAGCGCTTCAGTATGTCCGGGGTAAGAGCTATGTTGGCAGTGCTATCATCCTTCCACAGCCAGGCGAAAAGGTTCATGTCATTCCCAAGACTGTGATTTCACTCGGTGTAGACTCTCCGGGTTCTACCTACTTAATCGTTGGTGGTCTGGGGGGTATTGGGCTAGCCACCGCTTATTGGATGATGGAACATGGGGCCAAGAACTTGCTGATAGTCTCCCGCAATGCCTTGGCACATCCGAAGGGGTTGGCGTTGGCTCAAAAGGGAACAGAGTGTGGCTGCAATGTCCATATACGCAATTGCGACATATCCGATGAGGCCAATGTGCGTCATCTTCTCGCAAAGGCAAAGGAAGACATGCCTCCGATCCGTGGCGTGCTTCAGATCGCTGCAATACTCGACGTAAGTAGCGAAGAAAATCGTAGCAAGACGGCATGTGCTAACTAGTCGCAGGACACAATCTTCGAACGTATGACGTTTGAGCAATGGCAGAAAGCCATCGGTCCCAAGGTTAGCGGTACCTGGGCCCTGCACAACAACCTGTCTGACCTCGAGTTTTTCATAACAACCTCATCCGCCACGGGAGTGCTGGGCAATGTGTCACAGAGCAATTACACCGCCGGTGGCACCTTCCAGGATGCGTTTGCACGATACCGCACTTCTCTTGGCCTGCCTGCCGTGACCATCGATCTTGGCCCAATCGATGATGTCGGATATGTTGCGGAAGGCGGAGACGTAGTCAAGAATCGCGTGGAGAAGGCTCTCGGAATGAAGTGTCTTCCCATCGCACATGTCCTCCGACTTTTCGAGGATGCGATCAGAAATCCAAAGCGGCGCTACGCAGAGAACAGCCAGGTAATTACCTGTATTTCTGGATACCGTAGCTTGGTCGACGATCCAGCTGTAAAGCGTGACCGTCGATTGGGAACTCTCCGACTAGGCGATATCATGGCGACAGAAGTCTCGGCTCACGGGCAGTCCGACTCCGCCAGAGATATCGAGGGTTTGTTGTCCCGGTTGTCGGCAATGTCGGCTTCTGTTGGGGGCAACTTGAAAGACATCATCACGGACCTCTTGGTGGCCAAGCTCGCGGAGCTTTTCAATCTGGAAAAGATCGACATTGACACTGGTGATGCTCTGACAAGTATCGGTGTCGACTCTTTAGTTGCTGTGGACTTCAGGAATTGGCTGGGCAGCGTTGTCAAAGCCAAGGTCAGCATCTTCGAGATTCTTCAGACGCCGGCAGTGAGGGAATTCGCCGGATTGATTGCGGAGAGAATTGGAAACTGTAACGGGCTGAGCCTCGAGTCACATGACTAGGCTGCTAGCCTAGTCGCTTCCCCGGCAACGTGAGGGCCGTGCGCCAACCCAAACAAAGCAGGCTCGCCGCTTGCGTCTTACCTTCTTTCTTCATCTTGACTGTAAATAGCATCTGGACTAGGTAGCTGGAATACAGTCCCTACAGACCGTTCACATACAGTCAAGATCAAGAAGAACACGCAGAATACGCAGAACACGCAGAACACGCAGAACACGCAGAATACGCAGAATACGCAGAATACGCAGAACACGCAGAACACGCAGCAACCAAAGCACCGCTATAATGAGCTCCCCCGGGGATACTGACATGACGACGAACGATTCGAACCAGCTGTTACAGTCGCTACTACAGAGACTTGAAGACATGAGCACTAGGATGGAGAGGCTGGAAGCACCATCGCACGAGCTACCTCAAACGCCTGGTCACAATACAGACGCCACCACTGATCCAACGCCAACCTCCGAGACTTCGAACACATCTGTGCCTATAACCCCAAAGCCGCGGCACAGCTTACCCCACCCGCCTACGTTTGGTGGAAACAAATCACAATTGCGAGGATGGAAGCTAGAGATGGAGGGCAAGATCGAAGAAGACGCGCAAGCTATTGGAAGCCTAAAAGCTCAGCTACGCTACGTCTACATGCGTCTTGATGGGGCAGCGAAAACCAACGTTACACATACTACGAGATACAGTTAAAGAAGAATCGCAAACCTTTCAGCTGCTGACCGCCTGAACTCCCTCTACGGCGACGAAATCGAGGGAAGCATTCGAACCTCTACTCTATACGCGAAGGACGACGAGACGTTTATTTCCTTCTATCCACGGTTTGAGAAAGAGATGGCCAACGCTGACGCAGAAAGCTGGCCTGAGCATACGAAGATATCCTACTTACGCAATGCATTAAGTGGTAGGATAAAGGATAGGCTTGTTGGTACATCAGGAGCAGAAACAAGCACATACGCAAGGTTCGCTCAGAAGTGTGCAGATCTTAGCAACGACATGGAGTTGTTCGGCCAATGGACGAAAACAACCCGCCGTTACGGTAGCCGAACTGCTGAAAATGCACCAACCTATGAACCACCAGCAAAATCAAATAATGCCACGCTCACAGCAGTTTCCCCCGAAGACATGATGGAATGGGAACCTACGCAGCCTACAACTACCCAAGTGAACGCTGTCGGCCTCCGCGGCAAGACCAACATGAATGGATATCCATCTAGGCGTCCCGAAGACCGAGAACTTATTGGAAAACGAGCAAAATGGGTCAACCAAGAGGAAATCGATGCTCGACGCCAGGAACGACGCTGCCTCCGATGCGGCCGCAACAATTGCCGAATAGCTACATGCCCGTTAGCAGCCGCTCTACGACCAACTCACGTTAGCGTCAAGACAGCAAAGAGTACTGTGGTCACCAAGGCAGCTGTAGAGGAGGAAGATCCAGAAGACTCCGAAGCAGAGCAATAGGAACACGCGGCAGCTCAGAAAGAATGGAAAGAGACCGGAAAGCAAAAGATGGATAGCGATCCCTTTGTACTGGACGTTAGACTTAATGGAACTGACTTTGTCACTGGACTTGTTGACTCAGGTTGCCTTTGCTATTCTGCCATTAATGAACAACTCTTTCGATCTCTGAGACTGCCATCAATCAAGATAGCCCCGCGTCAGCTAGAGGAAGCAGCTGGGAAGAACGCAGAACCAAGTACTGTCCTAGATACAGTTACTTACGCCTCGATAGACATAGACGGCCACCAGCAGAAACGCGTCTTCTTCTACGTTGTACCTGGCCTAACTTACGACGTGATCCTAGGAAAGCCCTGGTTAGAAGATGCCGACGTCACAATTTCGGCCAAACAAGGCTGCCTAGATATCGGCGCGTCAAACATCCGCGCATGGAACCACAAGAAAGCGTCATACAAGCCACCACTAATGAAGGCTACTCAGGTGATGGCTTCCGCATTCATGGCGGAGGTGAGAAGAAGCCGTAGGAAGAACAAAGGAGACGGTATTGCGCTCGACACTGGACTGTTCGCTGTTTCCATCGCCGACATTGAGAAAGCTTTGAAACCGCGCAAACGATCCGATCCAAAGACGAAGCTCCCACCCCAGTACCACCAATGGCTGAAGGCTTTCGACCATTTCCTAGCTGAGAAACTTCCCCCACATCGTAAAGGCGTTGATCTCCACATTGAGATTGAAAAGGATCAAGACGGAAACGAGAAGACCATTCCATGGGGTCCGCTCTACGGCATGAGCCGAGAAGAGTTACTAGTGCTTAGGAAAACTCTCACCGAGCTGTTAGACAAGGATTTTATCCGCGCAAGTAACTCTCCCGCAGCTGCACCCGTCCTGATGGTCAAAAAGCCAGGAGGGGGCATCCGATTTTGCGTTGACTACCGAGGCTTGAACAACATCACCAGGAAGGACCGTTACCCTCTGCCTCTATTCACAGAAACACTGAGAAATGTAGCTAAAGCTAAATGGTTCACAAAACTTGACGTTATCGCAGCCTTCCACAAGATCCGTGTGGCCAAAGGAGAAGAATGGAAGACAGCTTTCCGAACAAGATACGGCCTATTCGAATGGCGGGTTGCTCCCTTCGGACTAACAGGAGCACCAGCCGCATTTCAACGCTACGTAAATGGTGTTCTACAGGATTACCTTGACGACTTTGTTTCAGCCTACGTTGACGACATCTTAATCTACTCGTCAGGATCGCTTCAGGATCACAGAGAGAAGGTTGGAAAGGTTCTTCAACGCCTTATAGACGCTGGACTGCAGATTGATATCGACAAGTGCGAGTTCGAGACTAAACGAGTCAAATACCTCGGGTACATTGTGGAAGCAGAAGTGGGCATTCGAGTTGATCCTGAAAAGATTATCGCAATCCGCGAATGGGCTACACCAACGTCAGTTAAGGCTATCCGAGCATTTATTGGTTTTGCCAACTTTTACCGAGTTTTTATACCAAACTTCTCGGACATTGCTGAACCGCTTATCAACCTAACTAAGAAAGAGATGGTTTTTCATTGGGACGAGGCTTGCAATCAAGCATTTGAAACGATTAAGGAACTTCTCATTACAGCACCAATACTCGGCCATTTTGATCCAGAGAAGGACACCTTGGTAGAAGCCGACTCCTCAGGACATGCAACTGGCGGCCTATTGCTGCAGAAGGACAAGAACAACAACTGGCAACCCGCAAGGCTGTGGTTTGATTCTTTATCGATTGGAGATCCACAGACAAATATAGGAGGCTCGTGCACAGTGGCACGTCCCAGAGAATGGTCTGTGATCTGCAATCGATAAGAATCAAGCCAGCTTGACTTGCTTGTTGACATCTCTGCTGGTGTCTCGCTTATCAGCACTAGACTCTTGAGGACTAGAAGAACGTTATCTAGTCGGATAAGACCTCTGTTGTGCTGAACCACCGTCGTGGTGGGTATCGAGTGTGGAGAAAGGCAGATGAGGCTTTTACAAGATCTGTGTAACGGGCTGAGCCTCGAGTCACATGACTAGGCTGCTAGCCTAGTCGCTTCCCCGGCAACGTGAGGGCCGTGCGCCAACCCAAACAAAGCAGGCTCGCCGCTTGCGTCTTACCTTCTTTCTTCATCTTGACTGTAAATAGCATCTGGACTAGGTAGCTGGAATACAGTCCCTACAGACCGTTCACATACAGTCAAGATCAAGAAGAACACGCAGAATACGCAGAACACGCAGAACACGCAGAACACGCAGAATACGCAGAATACGCAGAATACGCAGAACACGCAGAACACGCAGCAACCAAAGCACCGCTATAATGAGCTCCCCCGGGGATACTGACATGACGACGAACGATTCGAACCAGCTGTTACAGTCGCTACTACAGAGACTTGAAGACATGAGCACTAGGATGGAGAGGCTGGAAGCACCATCGCACGAGCTACCTCAAACGCCTGGTCACAATACAGACGCCACCACTGATCCAACGCCAACCTCCGAGACTTCGAACACATCTGTGCCTATAACCCCAAAGCCGCGGCACAGCTTACCCCACCCGCCTACGTTTGGTGGAAACAAATCACAATGGCGAGGATGGAAGCTAGAGATGGAGGGCAAGATCGAGAGACGCGCAAGCTATTGAAGCCTAAAAGCTCAGCTAC